ATCCCTCTTCCCTCCTGCTTTGCATGTTCTATTACTCTCTTGTTTTCAAAGAGACTCTTTTATGACTGTCAGTCTTTTATGGGCTCCATTTAACTGAAGGGATGGCTCAAGCAATAGAGCTTCTGCCTAGCAAGTGAGTTCAAATCCCAGGACCACTAAAAAAATTATTTCCCCAAAGACTCCATTTAAAAGGAGGGGAAAGGGTAAAGATTGTGACTAAAGGTCACATCTTTGATTGGCTCTACTGAGCTGTGTTTTCACTAATTAGAGAAACACAGTATCTCTGTGTAAACTATTGTAAAAATACAACAAGATTAAGAATATTATTTTACAGTCTACAAAAGGTTCAAAGTATGTGATTTTTGCTCCATAATATTTTTAAGTTCTGAAATCAATTGCAACATGTCTAAGGTTTTCAAGATGTTCTTTCTCCACTGAATGTAAAGAGAAATTTTAAATAAATTTCAATGCTTGGAAACTAGGTAGAATGTAAAATTTTTTAATGTTTCTCTTATTTGTGGCTATATTAACTTAGCTCAGGAAATATCGATGGTTTCTTAAGTGTACTTTTGAAAAAGTCAACATTATTAAATTAGCGAAGAACTGCCATTAGATTCCCAGGACTTTGGCTAAATCAAAATTAATCAATAAATCTCTCTCTCTCTCTCTCTTTCTCCCTCTCTCGCTCACTCTCTCTCTTTCTTCCTCCCTCCCTCTCTCAATATTCAAATATTACTATAGTTGTTCAACCTAATTTTATATTTCTATTTCTCAAAGTAAAATAGGTTGAATTTTAAAATTTATCTTATTAAAATTTTTTTCTATGCATTCATATATGAAATGTTATACAACTATTTTCAAAGGAAAAAGTAGATTTTTGTTTTAAATCATGTACATCTGTCTAAAATATATTATGAAGGAAAAAAGTTCAGGTTAGTGCATATGTAATAAAATCATATGTCCTATGTAATGTTTAAAATCTGAGAAAAAATACAATATATAGATCCTGGTAGTGTTTCAGTAGTTAGGATTCTAACATTTTTATTTCTTTGTTATCTCTTTAAAATGTTTTCTTGTAATGAGCAGACATTGCTGTAACTGAAAAAAATTATCAAACTAAAATTAGTTTTTTATGGATTGAATTGAGTGTGGTGGAAAAAGTGTTAATAAAACAGATTGCTGTACTGAAAATCTCATGAAATTCTTTTGTCATTACATGGCCATTTGTATAGGACTTACACAAATTAACTAAAAGGAAGAACTGTGCCTTCATGAAGACAAGGCTTCTGGCTGCACTATACAGGTTATCTTTTACTTCTGTCCAAAGTCCATTTATCCTTTGAAAATTGCTCCCTGGTAGGGGATGGTTCTTCCAGCAGGAATCTAATTCTGTTAGTTTTTCCTTTCTTCTAATTCAGAGGCATGAAACTCCAGAGCAGATTTTGATTCCATATCCATGTGGACACCAAACCTTACCTCCTCTTTCTCGGTAATGTCTCATCACATTTTGTCATAACTACTGCCAGCCGGAAAGCTTTCCAAATACCTAGGGAAACATAAAACTCCTAATAGGTCTGCTGCCTCCCTTTTTTTCTTTCTTTCATTAACTTTCCATGTGTACCCAATTCATCCTTTTAAAATGTTTCATTATGCTAAAGTGATATTTTGCTGCTCTGATGCAGAAATGTGATCGTATCTCTATGTAGTTACCTGAATTTTAAAAAACCTGTACTCCTTAGCCTAGAATTTAAAGTTCTCCATAATTTAAGCATTCCTCTTGGACAGCTTTGTTTCTCAATACAGCCTTTGCTCCCCAAAGGACAGCCTACACACTGAATCTGCCTTGAATTTCAACACCCCCAAATGTTGGCTCTTCTTATTTCCTCCTCCAGGAATGACTACAGGGTTTCTACCACTGACTTCTACTAAACAAGACCAAGTTTGGATTCTGCACTTCAGATGATCCTGGGCCACTGTATCTCTAGGACAGCTCCTCTTTTACACTCAGGTGGTACTTTTGGTACACGTGGCTGTTCCCCAGCCAAATGGCAAATGCCTTAAGAGCAATGGCCATGCATTCTCTTTTGTATTTTAAAATCACTTAGAGCTTTGCCTCTAGTAATCCCTTAACAATTGACATGCAATAAATATTTTTTAATTAACTAAAGTCTTAAGCAATCACGTTTTCTAAGCATTCTGGGAAGCATGTCCAAAAGATAACATTCCACATTTTTACTTTTTATTTGAACAAGGAAGAAAGTTCAAGACAAATCAGTATTATTTGAGTTAACCACTATGGAAACCACAAAAATAGGTTTACCTATGATCAATTTCCTATTTCTGACAATGTCCCTTTCTAATAAAGTGTGTTTAGATAGAGCATTTTAAAAATTTGTCCAAAACTCACAATCATGGCTTGCCTCTAGCAGAAATAATGTGTTCCTGGTTCTCTTTGTAAATAATTGAATTTGCCTCTGAAGTTAAAAGAAATTCAGTGTTTCTTTTTTGTGTGTGAAGCTGACTGCTTCTCTTTCCTTTTTATATGCAGCAGACTATGATATAAAGCAGAGGAAATGTACAGTTGGGATTTGGTGGGCAATGGGGATAATAGAAAAGATTGACACGACTTCCACAGAGCAGTTATTTTTAAGTATAGAGAAAGCCTTTTCCCTTCTGAAAGAGTCTTCAGAAAGTATTACCAGGATCGAAAAGCAGTGGGGGTAATCCCCATCACCTGAGATAGCCATACTGGTGTGCAGGGTGTTGCTGCCACCTACTGCATGCAGGCAGCCATGGAGGGGCTGCCACCTGGCTCTTGCAGCTGTGGGCTATGGATGCATTCAATTAATATTCTGTGGGCATCTGAAATTTTTCTTCCCTCAGAGCCTAAGTGGATCCCAAAAGAAAATTAGTCAAATCTGAGGTTTTCAGGCCACAGGACCTTCTAAGATAGAAGAACCATGAATTAAGACGCTGAAAACAACTAGAGGGGGCAGATTTGGCCAATAGCCACTGAATGAGTAACTCCAATGACCAATCCTGATGAGAGGCAAGGAATCTGTGAAAATTGAGTGTATAGCTCTGGAAAAGAAATAATAATTTCCCTCTTACATGGTGTTCTTTTTTGAAAAGTTGCTTCATTTTAATGCAATAAGTGGAGTCTTCTAAATACTCTAAAGGAGGTGTCCTTAAAGAATCCAGTAAATTTGGATTTTTATTGGTTTTCTAGTTAGGTAAATTCTTCTTAATATGACAAATAGGATTCTGTGAAGTAACAATTTCTTCTCCAGGCATTTAATGTGTCCTAATCTAATAGGGACACCAATTTATAGATTAGGACCTTTATTGTATACCTCCTGGCCTGGTTTTACTGCTATGCTCCATCACATTGATTTACAAAATTTTCAGGGGGAAGGAAAAGATAGAGGCACCCAGAGCAGTGCCATGTCTTGCCCTTCGTTCAAGGACTTTGTATTTCCCAACCTTCCCTGAAAAAAAAATCCCTGTCAATATCACCTGACCCAACATCCCCAATTATCTGGAGGGAGATGGGAGGGATAGGAAATAACTAATCCTATCTTCTGACTTTTATAGGAAACATCATTAATTGAGTAGTAATGAGTAACTATAAAGATTGTCATGGCAAGTATTAGCAATGGTGTCGCAGGTGGCAGAGGATGTTAGTCCTTGATTTGTCACATGCAAAGCTCTCTACTCTTGCTAAGATCTAGTGTCAGAATGGTAAGGGTCATTCCTTACATTTTAGCATCAATCATAATCCCACAATTTCATGTATAGGATGAATCAGTATATACATGAAATGTAGCCAAAATTATCTCCACCTGACTTCAAAATATATTACTGCTTCAGAAACATAATTCAACCTTCTCATTTATGTTCAGTCTTGATGAATGGTTCCTATATTCTAGAAGTAAGATTGGGGTTACAGAATATTTCACCAGTCATACATTTGATTATGTAAAGATACATATGTTTATTTTTGTTATTCTTTTTTTTCACTAAACTTACACTGCAGACCTCACCTTTCAGCATGTTTTCTTAATGTTGGAGAATAAAGACTGCCTATTTCATCATAAGATATGGAAAAATTAATACAACAGTATATGGCAAGGAATAGTCATTATGTCCTTTTATGAATAACCAGACATTTTTCCCAAGGGGTCACTTCCCATCATGGTCTTCTGTAAGTGGGAGTAACTGGGTAGATGGAGCAGACCTGGTAGCTGGTTGAAATGGGAGATTCTCTGCCTTTGGGTCTGATTGTTACCACCTCACTCTGTATGCTTTCTGGCTTAGGCACAGATAAGCTCTTCTGCCACCAGCAAATAAGGCTTCCAGTTATCACATTGGGAGACTTCCTTATTGGAACAGCCTATGGCAGACAAGGCGAAAAAAGGGGCCCTCCTTTTTCCCCTCCCAGGAAATGTGGTTTTCCTTGTAAGAACAGAGACGATAAAATTCAGTTTAGTAGCTGACATTACTCCCTGTTACTTTTCAGATTTCATTAAAATTAAATATGTTAATTATTTGTTCTTTCACCCTGAAGCAATTCTGGAAAGAAAAATATCCCAAGATTGAACAGAAAAACTATTATGAAAGGCACCCAGCTCATATTTGGTAAATGACTTTATGGTCTTGAGGAAAGACATGTATAAAAAAAGCATATCAGAAACTGCTCTGCATGATTTCCTTTGTTTGGATTTTAGAAGCAGCTCGACTGACAAGGAGATTTTGAATGAGAGACTCTTTGGATATGGAAAAGTCTTTTAAAGAAAGTGATATACAGGCTTTCAGAGAACAATTTTAACATTGTTCTGTTAAAAGTTATACTTAGCTGTGAACCACATTACTTTCCTGTCTACGTTTCATTTCCTGGGGGTTTGCCAAGTGATAAACAGACCCAGGTCTGTGGTAGATTTGGGGTTTTCAGCACAAATAGCGTGGCTGGAGTTTGCTTAATTAAAGACATCAGTTGACTTCTGTGATCGTTACAGAAATGCTGGCGTAAGCTCTTCGGAAGACAATGGGAAAAAAATGGACATACTGTGCTGTCTACTCCATCATCCAGATACAGTTTGTCAGGGGTAAGACTTCCGGTTGTCCTTTCTTGTCAGATCGCCTGCTTTAGAGGCCTCTGCTCATTTAAAATACCTCATAACTGCTGCTGAAATTGATCACCCAAGGGCAAATTGTTGCTAAGGTTTTCAGTTATGTATTTATGTGGCTGCTCTTAGAGAGATGCTAGAGTCTAGAAATAGATTACTAACGAACAATAAAAACAAGAGAATGGGTGGTTTGACCACTGTTCTGAGATATTTTCACCGATTTCCCTCTTAAGAGCATTTCGGGGCTAACGGGGAGATTCTGCTTCTTGGAAATGAACTGTTCTCCAGTGGTAGTCAGAATGACTACAGAAAACAAAACAAGACAAAAAAATTACAAAGCCTTATCCACGTTCAGAGATCCTTGCTCAACTTTGATTCCTCTCTCAAGTTTCCCTGTTCTTTACTTACTGCAAGTATTTCTCCTCCAAATATGATGGTCTTTGGGAATGGGACATGAAATTATTTTTACTTAGGCATATATAGGTGTTGCCCTGGGGATAAAGTAGCGTCCTTGTGACAGTGGGAACCAGAGGGACTTATGTGTAACTGTAAAGAAGAGAGATTAGTTCTAGATTCCATAATACAAGAATGTTGTAGTGAGCCTCAGTGTCTTAAGAATTAACTGTGCTTTTTAGATATAACTACGAAGATTTTAAGAATTTCTAAATCAAAGATCATATTGGAATATGATGCTGTAGATAGGATCAGAGGCATGGTATATTATTAAAGAACAGCTCATAGGGAGTTATACTCCACTGTACTAACCTCTGTTACTGAATTTTTTGCATCTGCAAAAGTATAATAATTCCCATTTGTCAAGTACCTTTGAGAGCCTTGTTCTTCTCAGCTGCTTGTCATCTTTTTTATCTTTTCCCTTTGTGTGCTTCGGGGGACTTGTCACAATATTATCATTTCTGTAACTGTATTCCAAGTTAATTCTAAAACAGAGACCAGGATTTCTGAAGGCATATCAAAGTCACATCGCATAACATATTTTAAGTGCTCTGTACCATTTGGTCAGGCTACTGATGATATAAAGAGAATCTTCCTCTTTAAGGCTAGTAAGCATTGGTTAGAGATGGTAGCTGTGGAACCTCAACCTGAGTCATTCTCCCCTCTGATTTTCCTCAGGAGACTTAACTACACAGAGATGAAGGTCTTTTCCATCCTCATAGATGCAAAGTCAGATTTCTTACTTTGCTCAACCAGATTGAATTTGTGAAGCAGTGTGGAGTTGTGAATGTTATAGAATGGTCATAGACTCTGGGCAACGGAGTTTATGTTCTTTTACTAGAGGTGTGACTGAGCAAAGCACTTCATCTCTTGGTGTTTCACTTTCTTCTTTGATAAAAAGGGTTAACAGTATCACTTTTATGGTGTGTGAGAATTAAACAGATAACATGTATAAAAGTTTCCTGTAAACATGTGCTTTGAAAAAACTTGCTATACACATATTAGTTATTTTTGCAGTTTCAGAGGGCTTCACCTGTGTGTTATATGCAACTGCTCATGTATAACTCAAATTGGTCAACTACATTAAATGTGAGAATAGCTGTATACTAAGTTTTCTGGTGCATTTCATTTTTAAATAGGCTTAATTTACTCACAGATCTTAAATTATTTTTTGGACAGACCATCAGACAAAGAGAAAAATATTCAGATGTCCATAGTTTCTCCTACTTTTCCTACACAAATGCCTCCTCATTTGCACTGAGTCTCATGCTTCCCTATCTGCATCACATACAAGTTTTCTTTCCCTGAGGCAACCAGGAAGAAATTTCCTCAGTTGTTCATTTCACAAAGTAACCAGGGTTTTATTTTTCTGCTGTTGTTTGCTTGCACTTGTTTGTTTTGTGGTACTGGGGTTTATTGCTAGGCAGGCACTCTACCACTTGAGCCAGGCCTCTGTCCTTTTTTTCTTCTTCTTTCTTCTTTTTTTGCTTTTGCTTTCTTAGCTATTTTTTGGAAAGGGTCTTACATTTTTGCCCAAGGGCAACCTTGGGCCATAATCCACCCAACCCCCACCTCCCTGGTAGCTGGCATTACCTATGCGTGCCACCTTGTCCAACATGAAACAATTTTAATTAAGAGTTACTCCATGCGAATTACAGAAACTTATGACACATATCTTTTCCTTTTCAGGAATATGGGAAGGAATAGCCAATGCAAGAGAAGACATTTATGCTGTACCTGGTTCTGATGTCAACCTGACTTGCCAAACACAAACAAAATCCTTCTTGGTGCAGATGCAATGGTCCAAGATCACTGATAAGGTGGACCTCATTGCCCTTTATCATCCCCAATTTGGCTTCCACTGTGGCCACAGGAGTCCCTGTGAATCAGTGGTGGCTTCTATAGGAACTTCTGGGAATGTAACAAAATGGACTCTACACTTAAGGAATATATCTTCCTTACTCAGTGGAAAGTATGAATGTAGCTTTACTCTGTATCCAGAAGGCTTTCAGACTAAAATCTACAACCTTCTCCTGCAGACATCTGGTAAGTGTGACCCACAGAGGAAAGGAAGTTCTTGCTTTCACTCAGCTCCCATTCACTTAACAAGCACCACTGTGTACCAAATATGTGCTAATCATAGTGCTGAGCGTGTTAAATTTGAGTCAAAAGAGGTATTGTATGGTAAAGGAGATAGAAGTTGATCAAATAATTCCACAAAGAAATGAAAAATTGCAACAGTGATAATTGTTAATAACAAGAACTACAACAGTCCTGTGAAAGAGCACATAGTAGAGTCTGGGAAAGTTGTACCTGAGAAAAGAATACCTGACCTGAAGTCTGAGAATGAGTAGACAGTAATACAATTTGGGCGGGGTGTGTGTTTTGAGTGACCAAGACAAAGGAAATAGCTGTGTGAAGGGCTTTCCAGTGTTTGAGGAAATGGGAAAATGGCAGTGGAACTACAGTTTAGGGATTAATGGATGAGATTGGAGATATGGTAAGGACTGGATGGTGCCAGACCTTGTCAGCCATGTTCAAGGCTCTAATTGTACTTAAGAACCATGGAGATTGAAGCATTTCTAACAAAATGATGGCATGACAGCTATAGTTTAATTGTACTTGTGTTATAAAAAGATGATACTGGCTTCAGTATGAGATGGTACCAAAGTGCACAAGAAGGAGAAATTGGAAACAAGTTAGGAGACCACCCCAATAATACAGAGGCCAGAGATTGGTAGTTTGGTCAATATAGAAAGAAATTGCCCATTTTATGTTTTGGGCATAAAATACATGAGTCAGTCATAGAGTGGAAATAAAATGAGGTGGGTATGAGTGAAGGAAAGAGAAAAATTGAAGGTGATGTTGGGTTTCTGTCATGCACATATGCATGGTGGAACCAGTCTCTGGGATGGAAGACAGAGGAAGTTGTCTAGTTCATGAGTGAACATATGAAAATGCATTCACACCATACACGCTTCAAGTGACTGCATTTGAAGATAGCTGTCCTGGGTTTAAGGTGCAGCTTCCTCCTGGCTAGAAATGAATTTGACTTGGGGCCTGTCATGTAAATTCTCTGAGCCCATTTGGAAAATGATAATAATACCTGCCCTAAATTACCTGGTCCTAAAGTAAATGATTTCCATTTCTGCTAATGGAAAAGAATGAAAATGAAAACCAACAAATGGAAAGGGCCCTGGAAATTGAATGTTTTAAACTCAGGAGGGAAATGGCCTGGTAATATGAGAAAATAAAAATAAAAATTAACTCAGGAAGGCCATGTTAAAGGAGCCATGGACCTGCCCTGGACAAGCAATAAGTATGGATTTATTACCTTCTTTTCATTTCTTATCACTTAACTGCTCCTAGCCTATGATATTGGAAGAGTCCATTGACTGTGGCCTTAAAATGCCTTATTTCTTTTCTGTTTTCTGAAAAATAAAGCAAAACAAACTTCAGAGCAATTGGGAATGAGATCAGTGGGATGGGTTTGAAATAAAGAGATGCAGATGACTTATATAGACAATATTTAGTTATACATATCTTCAAGTAGCCTAGATTTGAACATTGGCTGTGTCACTTACTGTACAGACCATTATAGCCAAGTTATAGTTATTTCATGTTTTTAAGCTTTTGTTTTGTCATGTAATAAATATAGATAATAATATTCCTCCTTAATGGGTACCATTACTTTGATGATTAAATTAAATAATCTGTATTAAGTATTCACCATACTTCCTGCCAAAAGATTTGGTAAATGGTGACTTTTATTAAGAATCATAGTAATACAGAATAAATCTTTCTCAATTCTTATTACAAATGATTGCTCTTGCCTTTCTTTTTATACTGTCCTAATTTGAGACCCAATGGGATGTTTGTCACTTATTCAGACAAGAACACATGGTGGCTTCAGTCATAGATTTTGTACATTCTGTCTATCCTGTAGATTTTACTACTGCATATATGACTACCTTAGCTTTACTCCATTGAAAAATGGCAGCATGGATTTCCATTGCTATGTCTACAAAATTACCAGTGTCTCTTCTCTGGACTACTGGGATGTACTCTATAGAAAATAGGATTTGGGATGGCTCGAATGAAGACAACAACGGAAAAAAGAGATGGTATCTAGAATTGGGGATGGTGTTGCCTTCAAAGAAAGTATATTTCTTTATAAAGGACAATACACGACAGTCAAGTTTATAGCTACTGTCTGGAGAATAGAGAAATATCTATATTCTGAATGGTTGGAAATTTTCATCTTCTTAGTGTAACTTTGCTGGTGATCAACTGGATCAGTTGAAAAACAATGGCCTTGGTATTAGAGAGAGAAATGGTTCTGGTTTGCATATTTGGGTACAAATGGATCAACATAGACAAAAAACGAAAGGGGAAAATATATTTCACTACATAGAAGTGTAAGCCTATTCTAGAGCTAAGGTATAGGCACTTAACTCAGAATAGGCAGCTGTCATCCAGAGTCCTACCAAGTCCCCACCCAGTGCATGTCATCTTTTACTGATTTATTCTTTTTATCTCTCTTACTTCTTCTCTTCTCACTTGTACCATTTTCCCTCTTTTGTTCCTGTGAGAAATTCAAGTTTACAAGCTAGCTGGGTAAGCAAAGCACATACATGAAGTGCAAACACTTATGAAGTACATAAACAAATGCAAATTTAAATGATGTATAAGAATCTAAATATGAAAGTGCTGCAGCACCAGAGGGGTTAGGTTAATTACCTCTTCCTGTTTCCTTTTTTCTTGTCATCTGAGTCATTCTTCCTTGTCTGATCACAAAACAGTGTGTATCTAAATCCTGTTCTCATGTCTCACAAGTGTTTACCTAAGAAGTGATTCTGTTCTCTTTTCACAATACCTTTTCTCTGTGTGTTTTAGTGCGATGAGACTCTGGATGAGAATGGAAATATTATAAACAGTTTGGCATTTGCTTCCTTTTCATTTTCACTTGACAAGTTTTCTTCCTAGGTTAGGAGTTTTTGAATTATTCAAAAAAGTACAGTTCTCTTGAGTTAAGTCTCAGGTTTTTGTAATGTACATTTCCTAAATTTGAATTCTACTGGATCTTACAATACTTCAGAATGTAAGATTATATCACATTAGAAAATTTGTAGTTTTTAAGATGAATTATAAGAGTACAACACGGTTTTGATTTACAAAAGTACATCATATGCCTTAGGGGTTTTTAATGCGAGAGTAGCAATGGAAAAGAGTTGTGGGAAAACAAGTGGCAGTAATAGTACCACCATAATCTTGAAAACATAATGTTGATAAACTCAATCTTCGATTTGTGACTAGGCTGGAAGGTGATTTATTATTGAGCCTGAATGCTAACTTTCTAGAATTCTTGTGAGCAACATTTACCCATATTTTTCGAGAGCTTACAGTGCTAGAGACCAGGGATTCAGTGTTGTAAAATACAGACATGTATCAAGAATCACAAAGTTTGATAAGAGAGCAGACATAAGTCAAATAAGCAAACAAGTGTCAAAAGCAATATGGAGGAGTGCTCTTGCAGAAAGGAAGTAGGCAGTGGGAGAGGTCATCATGGGAAACTTAGGAAAGGTTTCCTAGGGAAGTCCTGATGGAACAGGAGCTACCCAGGAAACGATGTAGAATGCAGACTTTTAAAGTAGAAAACATGGTGTGCAAAGGTTTGGTGGTAGAAAGTTGTGTCAACTGTGGGATGTTTTAAAAGGAATTTTGGCTGAAGTAAAGAGAATGCAGGGGAGACAACTGAAATTGAGGCTACTGAGACTAGTTAGTCCAGTGAAGTAGGTTTGCCTTTATCCTAAGGACTATAAAAATTAATTGAAAAGTGGCTATTCTATTTTCTTTTGTTTTGCATTTCAAAAATGTATCTTTCTGGCTAAAAGGTAGGGAATTAATTAAAGAAGGGAAGGGGCTGGCAGAGTGACTCAAGTGGTAGAGCACCTGCCTAGCAAATATGAGGTCCCAAGTTCAAACCCCAGTATAGCCAAAAAAAAAAGAAGAATAAGAAGAAGAAAAAAGAAAAGTTCTCCAAGAAGGGCAGAGAGAGCAGTAAAAATCAGTTAGAAGAAAATAGCAGAATTCTAGAGGGGAAATGTTGGCAACATTGAGTACCATGGCAATGAAATAGATGAAGATGAATATTAAGACTAGAAACATGCTTGGAGATTTGCCCTGTGTATATGAAGTGAGAATAAAAAGCAGTGCCAAGGATGATGCTTTTGCATCTGGAATGATTGATTTACTCATTTTGTTAATGAACACTAGAATATGATCATATTGTGAAAAGATTATTTTGAGTTTGATCTTATATATATTGAGTTAGGTGTGAAGTATGAAGACATACAGATGATGCCTGATAAACAGCTGGATATATGACTCCTGATCTATCAGTTGAAGGATAAAACTTGGTGAATCATCTGAGAAGAGCTGCTAACTAAAGTTCTGGGAGTGAAAGAAATCATTTAGAGAGAGAAATCAAGTGGAAAAAGCAACGTGGCCTTTCAACATAGTCCATGGTGATGAGTAGAGAAAGGAGTCTTCAAAGGATAGAGAAGAGTAACTACAGAGCAAGAGTAAAATCAGGAGAGTACTAGGTTACAGAAACTTAGGAAAATATTTGCATAAAAGCAGTAGCTATCAATTCTGATGCTTCTGGGAAGACAAATGGTTATTGGATTTTATTTAGAAACATGAAAGGTATTGATCACCTCATAGGAGATGTTTCGGGGGCATTTGGGATAAAACGATGTTAGACTGGAAGAAGAGTGAATAAGAGGAGAGGAAATGGGAACAGCAAATATTGACACAACTTCCAAGCAATTGATCAGTAGTAATGGGAAGAGTTTGAGTGTTCAAATGAAGGGTTTTATTGGTGTTATGAGGTTGGTGCTTTTAATTAATGCAAGACACTTGACTCTATTTCAAAAGCCCATGGGTAGGATCCAGTTGAAAAAGAGTTAACTATACCACAGAGATGGTAAAATAAATAAACTAAGATTTCTGAGAAGATAGTCAATGAGATCCATAGCAGATGT